CCTTAAACAATATGAGGAATTTAAAAATACAACACAGGCTAAAAGCAACACAGCTGAAAATGAATGAAAAAACAATCAACTTTGTCAATGCATAAATAACTACCTTATCAATTTCACTGGGTCACGACTAGATCTGACCCTATCCAGCTGTGTATTCTATTAAATGATTGTGCTGTTTCAACATATTCTTATGGCAAAAAAGACTATTTCAAGCTTATTCTTGAGCTCCTTTTTATTATCCACAGGATTGACTTTGGTGATCCCATTGTCCAAGAGGACTAATTTTCAGTCAGTGGCATTTGCATACATGTAGATCTGTTATATGTAGCACGAGCGGGTGTTCAGCATAAGTTACCATGGCGATGTACCCCAGCATAGGAAGTAAGCCGCAATCATAGTCCTTCAAAACCCGGAGTCAAACCTGAAGTTCCCTCGCTGAACCAAATCGTGCTTTGTAGTACAGGCTTCAGGTCAGACTAAGTTGGATTATGAGTTAGATTGACAGGACGAGCCACTGCTATAGCTCAACTGGTTGAGCTGGCGACCCATGTACTGGGGCTATAGTCTCTGACGCAGCGGTCGTGGGTTCGAATCTAGCCCATTTGCTGCAGGTCCCTCTCTCGCTACTGTCCTGTCAAATAAAGACAAAAAGGCCAAAAAATAATGAATAAGTAATAATTTAAAAAAAAGACTGACAGGACAGCTCTGAACATTTCAACACGATCAGTCCAAATCATTTGAATCTGTTTCTCAATGTTCTTATGTAAATTGAGAGTCATATATGACTGTGAATACTTGGCAGTCACGAAGAGTCACAATCTGCAGTAATCATGAAATGATAGTAGCCATGACGATGAGGTGTTGATTACAGGGTTGCCAGACTTTGAAACTGTTTACAAGACAATTAGTATAACTGTCTTGCAAACAGAGGACTGCAAACAACTAAAACTGTCCGTCACCTAACTGTTTTTAACCTTACACTATATACAGATTCTTCAGGAGCTAATAAAAAAGGAACATGGTCAGACACAACAAAACACTTCTGGGCAGTGGTTTTATCAGAGATTTATTTTATAGACTTCCTACAAACTGCTCCACCCTGTTGTTAGGAGACAAGCTGCTCGTCTTTTATCAGTTTTCTGATGTATACATCTGATTACATCTTGTTGTTTGAGATGTGCCACAGTGGACTTCCAGTAATCACATGAAACTTGGACCATGAGGAAGTTAAACTGAAAACAAGTTGTTTTCTTTATGAGTCTATAAATCTAAATAGGAATGTTGGAATGCAACAGGTTGAGAAAATACTATAAAAGCATAAAATATTTTAAAAGTTATTCAAGCCAGTGTTGTTGCTTTTCCTTTTGTCAGACACATCTCACACCCTGACACCACAGGACACCACCAGAGGTCACGTGTTCATGTCCTGATGAATCAGAGGGATGGGCACAGTATTAGTCAGGTGGTTCTAATGTTGGGACTGATCAGTGTACATTCTGTCTATTGCTGCTA